TTTCAGCTGTTATTTTTTTTGTTTATATATATATATATATATATATATATATATATATATATATATTATAAGGTGTGACGCCACACAATATCTTTTAACCCCCTCCCTAACCCATGTCACAAACTGTCTAACTTTCTTAGACCCCTGCACCTTCCGGAGCATGACCTACTTTATGGACGGCCTCATAATTCCCCGCTGCTAAATCTTGCTTTAATCATTTGGTCGAAAGACTCAACAAGATACTATTCTAACTGCAGCAGTAAATAAGACAATTCAATACGGTTTCCTTCTAACTGCAGCAGTAAATAAGACTTTTCAATACGGTTTCCTTCTAACTGCAGCAGTAAATAAGACTATTCAATACGGTTTCCTTCAATTGCAATAGTAAATATAAGCGAAGCACTGTATTCGACATATATGGAAATGTATCTATGTGATCAATTTGAAAAAGCTTTTCGTACTTGATAAACTGAGATAATCTCATTCAAATACCGATTTGATAACTCGAAAAAAAATCTACTGAAAAGAAAATAGAAAACAAAAATAATGAAAATTTTGCAAAATTTTGCGGTACCCCGATAATGGGACGTCGCGGCTCTCAAGGGCACAGCGGCGCACACTTTGGGAACCACTGGGTAAGGTGCAAGGTAATAGCATCTTTTATTTTCATTCGGTCATGCCTTCACAGTATGTCAAAAAAATAATAAGGTGATAAAGACCTCCTGGTAAGTCACATGACTCATGAAGCAATCAAATCCAAGCACATCCGCCATTAATTGGTTTTAACCTCAAACCCCAAATCCCACAAGTACTTTAAAAGTTGTGCTGGAAGCCGGCGTATAGCGCACTGCTGTTAACTCAGGCAACTCAACCCAGGGACTGTTCTCACCTCGGTTTACTGGGGACATGCAGGGGCTAGCTACATGGGACACCGACCCCCATAGCAGGGATCTAAGCCTGACATTGACTATGTCACACAAATAGGAAGGTGTTTTGGGTCAAGGTATCCCGTCCCGGACTGTCGCAACACTCCCCCGGGCTAAAACAGTTTTACCTCCACCACTCATGGCTGATCTTACCAAGATAATTGGGCCACACATACGTCAAGGAGCTGAGCCCCAACACCCTTCTTTCTCGATCATTCTCTTCTTTTGTCCTCTACCTTCTCTTTCAACTTCTCTTCTCTTTCTCTCCTTCTCTCTCTCTCTCTCTCTCTCTCTCTCTCTCTCTCTCTCTCTCTCTGTCACATCCATCCTGTCGTTTTCTCCTCTACTTCTACCTAGCAGAGCTCATATCACCATATTTTTTATCGAGTCCTCTGCATTACACTGATAATGCCGCAGGTCATCTTATTCAACAAATAATTAAAGCACTCTTTGAATTCAAGTTTCAACTCATGTCAACTCTTCAAACGTAAGAAACTCTATAAAGTCATGGCTGATCCAGTCTATAAAGCCATGGCTGATCCAGTCTATAAAGCCACGGCTGATCCAGTCTATAAAGCCATGGCTGATCCAGTCTATAAGGCCATGGCTGATTCAGTCTATAAAGCCACGGCTGATCCAGTCTATAAAGTCATGGCTGATTCAGTCTATAAAGCCATGGCTGATCCAGTCTATAAAGCCACGGCTGATCCAGTCTATAAAGTCATGGCTGATTCAGTCTATAAAGCCATGGCTGATCCAGTCTATAAAGTCATGGCTGATCCAGTCTATAAAGCCATGGCTGATCCAGTCTATAAAGTCATGGCTGAATCCGTCTATAAAGCCATGGCTGATCCAGTCTATAAAGTCATGGCTGATTCAGTCTATACAGCCATGGATGATTCAATCTATAAAGCCATGGCTGATCCAGTCTATAAAGTCATGGCTGATTCAGTCTATACAGCCATGGATGATTCAATCTATAAAGCCATGGATGATTCAGCCTATAAAGCCATGGCTGATTCAGACTATAAAGTCATGGTTGATTCAGTCTATAAAGTCATGGTTGATTCAGTCTATAAAGTCATGGATGATTCAATCTATAAAGCCATGGATGATTCAGCCTATAAAGCCATGGCTGATTCAGTCTACAAAGCCATGGCTGATTCAGTCTATAAAGCCATGGCTGATTCAGTCTATAAAGCCATGGCTGATTCAGTCTATAAAGCCAAGATTAGGATGATACCATATAGTTTAAAGGTGATTTACTTTTTCCTCCCATTTACACAATTGCAGTGCGAAATTAGGAAGTATACCGGGATCTAAAGAGAGGGAGAATATGCCTTCTTTGGACGTGAGCCCTTTGTTAGCAATATGTCTGCATTTATGGGAGGGGGAGGGGGAGGGGGGACACACAGAGAAGGGATTGTATAACAGTGAGGTCATTAGAGAAAACTAAGAGGTCAAAAGTCAATTTAGGTCACAGGTAAGAGGAGGTGACAGGATCGGTGAGGTGTGAGGGTTGAGTGTAGGAGAGTGGAAAGTGTGAGAGTTGAGTGTAGGAGAGTGGAAAGTGTGAGGGCTGAGTGTAGGAGAGTGGAAAGTGTGAGGGTTGAGAGTGGGAGAGTGGAAGGTGTGAGGGTAGAGTGCAAGGTGTGAATGTTAAGTGTGGGAGAGTGGAAGGTGTAATGGTTGAATGTAGGAGAGTGGAAGGTGTGAGGGTTGAGTGTAGGAGAGTGGAAGGTGTAGGGTTGAGAGTAGGAGAGTTGAAGGTGTGAGGGTTGAGTGTAGGACAGTGAAAGGTGTGAGGGTTGAGTTGAAGGAGAGTGGAAGGTGTGAGGGATGAGTGTAGGAGAGTGGAAGGTGAGAGGGTTGAGGGTTGGAGAGTGGAAGGTGTGAATTTTGAGTGTAGGAGAGTGGACGGTGTGAGGGTTGAGGGTAGGAGAGTGGAGGGTGTGAATTTTGAGTGTAGGAGAGTGGAAGGTAAGAGGTGTAGGAAGGTGGAAGGTGTGAGTGTGGGAGAGTGGAATGTGTGAGTTTTGAGTGTAGGAGAGTGGAAGGTAGAAGGTGTAGGAGAGTGGAAGGTAAGAGGGTTGAGTGTAGGAGAGTGGAAGGTAAGAGGGTTGAGTGTAGTACATTGTTAACATAATGAGATATTGTTTATTTAATTGTCATTCATTCAGATATTTGTATAGAGTTAAAGTTGTACGGTTTTATCTTCATTTGATCATTCCATTCAGTTGCACAATTTTGGGTAGATATATCACAAGTTTTAAACCGCTGGGTGTCGCTAATACAATGACACAACACAACTTGGGTAGGTATATCAAAGGTTTTAAACCGCTGGGTGTCGCTAATACAATGACACAACACAATTTGGGTAGGTATATCAAAGGTTTTAAACCGCTGGGTGTCGCTAATACATTGACACAACACAATTTGGGTAGGTATATCAAAGGTTTTAAACCGCTGGGTGTCGCTAATACATTGACACAACACAATTTGGGTAGGTATATCAAATATTTTAAACCACTGTGTATTGTGTGCACTATTAAAAAAGAGTTGTCGTTCTTTAGCCTGGGGCTAGGATTGCAACATTTACTTCGTGTTAAAGCCAAATATCCTGGTCTACTCTTAGATACAAGTTATTATTTGATACAAAATCTGCCATCAGAACGCCATTAGGAAACGTGAAGAAACCCCAGCCGATTGTATCCTTAACACCCCCCCCTCCCCACCCACACATTTTACAAACAAACGAAAAAAAAACCCAGTAATTCGTAGAACGAACGATCTTAATCAGGGATAATTGACTGCAAACGACTCTTTTTGTACCACCGGAAGTGACGTAAATTTGTTTCATCTAATTGTTGAAGCGGATGTTCATGTCAACAAACACCTACACTGTACGTGTCTCACAGGTAGACCCCCGGGGCACGCCTGACTGGGTGCTGCCATCCGAGTCCCCTACCCCCTACCCTCAACCCCTTAAAACCACATTTTCGTTCCAATCAGAACATCGCTGCTCATAATTTCAGGATGGGTGATCAGCGATGCATGACTGTGACCAAAAAGTGCACGTTTCGCAGCGAATAAAAAGGCCAGCGATGCTGCCATGTGGTCACCCTGAATTCAGTAGACCAGCAAGTGCTTCAGCTGTTGAAATAAAATTAAAAAAAGAAGAAAAACACAAGACTTGCTGTAAGTGTATTTCATTGATATCTGTGAATGTCATTTGTTCAAACTCACAAATGGCACTGCTTATTTACATTGCTTTGTTAACATGATGGTTATTGCAATAATATTTTTAAAAAAATTTGATTTGATGATTATCTAATACATTTAACATTGATTTTTTAACAAATGTTAACATTATTTCACATTAACAATAGTTTAAAAGATGTGTTAAAACTTGAGGGTGAGAAGTTAAATAATGAACCGCAGAGAACCGAATGGGAGAGAATTCTGGCTGTACAATGACTTACTTGAACTTAAAACTAGGAGAAATGAGACAACGATGAATGAACTAGACAAAATGGCTGAAATGGAAACACAGTTTTGCCACCATTTGCCTTGACACAACTGATCTAAATACTTTCTGCGTCTTTCAGCTATGTTAAGGACGTCATAACGACGTGCTGATTACGGCATAAAAGAGAAATTTAAAACAAATCGATCAGCTTTTTGGATTGATAAGAATAATACTTGAAAGAATCAATCAACTTACTGCATTTCTTGACCAATCAACTTACTGCATTGCTTGACCAATCAACTTACTGCATTTCTTGACCAATCAACTTACTGCATTTCTTGACCAATCAACTTACTGCATTGCTTGACCAATCAACTTACTGCATTGCTTGACCAATCAATTTACTGCATTGCTTGACCAATCAACTTACTGCATTGCATGACCAATCAACTTACTGCATTGCTTGAATTTTACTTTACGACAATTAGCTGTAGAAATTTAACTAAGGCTACGTTTCAGACATCGCAGATGCATCTCGACAGACATCTAACACAACGATCTCCTGGGACTCGATCGGCATCGAAATTATAGAAGGCTATAGATGACAACAAAAGTCTACTTTTTTGGGGGCGTGGGGGGTGGGGTGGGGGTAAGGGGGGCTGGCCTGTTTTTAGAATCCCCAGTTTCTTTTCCTCTAAGGTTCACTTCAATTTAACTTGCAAAAACATTGTTTGGCTCAAAAAAAAAAAAAAACACAAAAAAATCCCAAAAACCCCACTGCTATGTCCTTAACGGTCAACTTTAGTTGGGGGCGGGGGGGGTGGGGTGGGGGTAAGGGGGGCTGGCCTGTTTTTAGAATCCCCAGTTTCTTTTCCTCTAAGGTTCACTTCAATTTAACTTGCAAAAACATTGTTTGGCTCAAAAAAAAAAAAAAAACACAAAAAAATCCCAAAAACCCCACTGCTATGTCCTTAACGGTCAACTTTAGTCTGTTCAAAGAATTTCTGTCTTCAATTTGGTCCAAGAATCAAGGCCCATACCTTGAAGATTTTCTTTATTCAAAACTAGCTAAAGAAAAAAAAGAGCAGATCTTGAATTAGGAATCATCTTTTCAAACTTAAAGATCTTATTATTTGATTGCCTAATGGTGTGCACTTTCTTCCACAGGTCCATCTCCACGTCACCAGAGCCCTATTCACCAGACAGAATGAAGTCGCTTATTGTCACGTGTCTAGTCCTGCTTGACCTGACGGGCTCTAACCCCGTCACCACCGTCAACAAATGCCCCCAGCCCACCGCTTCCAACCCAGTCCCGCCAGCGTTGCTGTACGCCCACCCGGGGGACTGCCAGTATTTCTACACCTGCGCCTTCGGAACGGCTTATCTGATGCAGTGTCCAGCCGGCACAAGTTTCAGTGACGTATACCAAACTTGTGTACACAAGTTTTCCACCTACGACACGTGTGAACGTAAGTTTCTGGACTTGATCAGCAACATTATAAAAACAACAAACAACCTCTCAATCTGTTATAGTAATGGTATCATAAATAAAATCATAAATAGAAATGCTGCAAAAATCTGAGTAGCCAGTTTATTTTATTTCCACAGAAGAAAAGGCAGCTTGTGAGATTCTGACTCCCCACCCAAGTTTGTGCAATCGATTCTTTAACTCATCGTTGACCTCCCCTGTCGATGCCCTGCTGGGTCCGTCCGAGGATGAGTGCCCCTATCCACAATATTTTGATGCCCAGGAGCTGCGGTGCAGACCATTCGCGGAAGTCACGTGCGGTGACAACAGAACAGAGGTCAAGGACAGATGTAAGTAAATGTTTCACTGCGCATGCGTCGTGGACTCATTGCTAGGTGTTTTTTGGTTGAATATTTAAAAAATATATATATATATTAAACTTATTATTATTTTTTATCATTGTCATTGTCATTATGTGATAGAGGAGCATTAATGTCAAAGAATGATGTCAATGTCATACCCTTGTGTTTGTAATAATGACATTATGTCAGGGCTGTGACAACAACTCAACATGTTTGCTAAAGGCGATTCGATGAACAGAAAGTAGTTAATGTAAAGAATGAGAACTTAAGAGCTTTTAAATTTGTTTTAAAAATGCTGAATGTGAGCACGTGACCTATTTCTTCCAGGTGGATACGTCAAGGCTTATTCGTGTAGTGAGGCACATTGTGAGAAGTGTAGTTCCGTATTTCCTTCCTGTGTGGGACTGGCGGATGGATTGCACGTAAGTAGTGAGGCAAAAATAAATCTAAAACTTCATGTCTCTCTCCCTCCACCCCCCTTCTCTCTCTATCTCTCTCACTCTCTCTCTCTCTCTCTCTCGCCCTCTTTCTTACTGTCTTCCTTTGACCCTTCTCTGTCCCTTTGTCTCACTCATTTTTTGGATTGATAAGAATAATACTTGATTCATTCTTTGTCTCACTCACAGCTTTCCTTCTTTACGCGCTCTCTCTCTCCCTCTCTCTCTCTATCATGTTATTCCTCTGTCCCCCTTTCTTTATCTCTTTTCGCTGTCTCAGGTTGTTGTCTCTCTATCTTTCTCTCCGTGTCTGTCTCTGTAATGGTTCACCCCCACCCCACCCCAAACTCCCCATATCTGAACGCATTCCCTTTTAACAATATTATTTCATCTCTTCTTCTGTTAACAAAATATGTTGACATTTGTGTAAACTAACACGCATTCAACACTAACGCCACGCCCACCTTTTTTGTCTTTTTAAAATCTAATCAACGCAATCAGCTTGAACAAAGATACACATGGAGACCCTTCATGAAATAAGCGTATTTTCAAGGTATCAATAGAACTCTGTATGGTTTATTTAGTAATGTGATTTATATCAAATGTGACAAATATCTTGAATGACCCACAATTTCACAAATAAATACATGTATGAAATCGTTCCCCTCTCTCAGCCGAACCCAGATAAACTGTGGACCCCCTTGTACGTGAGCTGTGCCGCAGAACGGCAGGAGAGTTTGACTTGCGGCACACCTGTTGTCGGCACCTTGGCCTTTTTCTCACCCGTCAAAAACCAATGCGTCTCACGGTATGAGGTCCCGGCCAATTACGGCGGTTTACTTCCCAAGTGTGGCGCCAAGGCCCCGGGTCGGTATGTGGTGACCCTCCAACCAAGGGTTTATTACACGTGCCCGGATGTTGAGGTCTTCTACTGCCCGGCTGGCCAGGTTTTCAATGAGGTTAGCCAGCAGTGCGAGCCCATCGCGAGCTAAACGACGTCTAACCGGAAGTCTGCCCGTTGCCCAATAGGCTTTGTGTTCTTGTTATTTTTTGGAACAAAATTTGACGCAACGCGTCTTCATGTTATTTACTTTTCTTTTATATTAAGTTTTAAATAAGTGCAATAATGGCGATGGTGATTGATAGTAATGTGCCTGTTATGATGATGCTTGTGTACTTGTAAAAAAAAACCAGCAACATATTTGGAATTTGTGTAAATAGTTCTGTCATTGTCGCTCTCTTTGTGGTCTTAAAAATAAACTCTAAATCAATATGTGATATCAAATTGTCAATGTTAAGCCATATGTCTCTCAATATGTGATATCAAATTGTCCATGTTAAGCCATAGGTCAATCTATATGTGATATCAAATTAACAAATTTTGCTACATTAAGTTTTATATCTTGCTATCAAATCATTACAACTTTGATGTCTTGCTATTTAAATAAAAGGGTTTTATCTTGTTAATGAATGTGTTTGTCAGTCATCAAAGATAAGTCATCTTGTTAATAAATGTGTTTTTCAGTCATCAAACGTAAGTCATCTTGTTATTGAATGTACTTGTCAGTCATCAAACATAAGTCATCTTGTTATTGAATGTGTTTGTCAGTCATGAAACATAAGTCATCTTCTTTTTGAATGTGTTTGTCAGTCATCAAACATAAGTCATCTTGTTATTGAATGTGTTTGTCAGTCATAAAAAATAAGTCATCTGGATACAGCTTCATACATTACATTGACAGGTAGTTTAAACAAAAGACATTTGTAACTTCTTGTAGAACCAAGCCTTCATCCGTGTCAAACTAGTTTAAAGCTTTTAATCATACCCACATGGACATATTCACATACCAACCCACTCTTATGGCCACATACTCACATACCAACCCACTCTTATGGCCACATACTCGCATACCAACCCATTCACAATAATTGCTTGGAACCACCTGGACAATGCCGCTGTGGACTCGACATCTGTCGAAAGCTTCAAGGCTGCCCTGGCACCCACTAGGAGCTGTTAGGATAGAAACATCGCTCTCCCAACCATTGCACATATGCCAGTATATGGATGCAGCAACGAGCACTACCAGAACCATAATATATCAAATCTCTTCTAGCTGGGAAAGCTGACGGGTTATTTAGAGGTGTGTGTGTGTGTGGGTGGGGGGGGGGGTTAGAACCCTGTAGAAAAGAAAATCTAGAATCTAAATTTTCAATATTTGGACATTAAACCTCATTTTTCATGAGATGTAACCAGCATAGTTTAAGCCTATATAATTTTAAGAGTAATGGTTTGTTTAATTTATCAAAAGCTCTGATCTATGTCATATGTCATCATATGTATATGGACGACGGAGTAGGCTAATGACACGTGATCAAATGGCTTACGAGGCCGATCCTGGAAGTGCCGTCTCTAATGCACTTCTCACAGGAGAACCTTGACTTGAGATTAAATGTGAACTTCCTTAATGCCCTTCTCGTTGCAAGGACTTTTTTTTTCGTCTTTTGAATACTTCATACACTGGTGTTATTCTCCCATTCATTGATTTTAATGTTGGCTTCCCTCATTCTCCTTTTGCAAATGTCTTAAAATTGCCGGTGCAGTCGCCCATTGAGTTTTGACCCTTCTGCCAACTCTCCAATTCTCTATGCAACAGATCCGTTAGAATAGGACCTTCCTCCATTCTCCTTAGATGACCTAACCAGCGAAGAAGCCTCTTGCTGAGAGCGGAGAACTTGCTGCACATTTTTGTTCGTTTCAAGACCTCTATGTTAGGGACCTTGTCCTGCCACCGTTTCAAGACCTCTATGTTAGGGACCTTGTCCTGCCACCGTTTCAAGACCTCTGTGTTAGGGACCTTGTCCTGCCACCGTTTGAAGACCTCTGTGTTAGGGACCTTGTCCTGCCACCGTTTCAAGACCTCTGTGTTAGGGACCTTGTCCTGCCACCGTTTCAAGACCTCTGTGTTAGGGATCTTGTCCTGCCACCGTTCCAAGACCTCTGTGTTAGGCACCTTGTCCTGCCACCGTTTCAAGACCTGTATGTTAGGCACCTTGTCCTGCCACCGTTTGAAGACCTCTATGTTAGTCACCTTGTCCTGCCACCGTTTCAAGACCTCTATGTAAGTCACCTTGTCCTGCCACCGTTTCAAGACCTCTATGTTAGGCATCTTGTCCTGCCACCGTTTCAAGACCTCTATGTTAGGCACCTTGTCCTACCACCGTTTCAAGACCTCTATGTTAGTCACCGTGTCCTGCCACCGTTTCAAGACCTCTATGTTAGTCACCTTGTCCTGCCACCGTTTCAAGACCTCTATGTTAGGCACCTTGTCCTACCACCGTTTCAAGACCTCTATGTTAGTCACCTTGTCCTGCCACCGTTTCAAGACCACTATGTTAGGCACCTTGTCCTGCCACCGTTTCAAGACCACTATGTTAGGCACCTTGTCCTGCCACCGTTTCAAGACCACTATGTTAGGCACCTTGTCCAGCCACCGTTTCAAGACCACTATGTTAGGCACCTTGTCCTGCCACCGTTTCAAGACCACTATGTTAGGCATCTTGTCCTGCCACCGAGTTCGCAAAATGCGACGCAGACATCGTTGTTAGATCTGTTGAGTTTCAACTCATGACTGACATACGTGGTCCATACACCACAGCCATAGATGTGCGTACTGAGTACGGAGCCCAAATGCCTGACAGACGCTTAGTTTTTTGCTTTCAGTAAGGTTAGGTTTAGTTCACACCCACTTATTCGATGCAGCTAGATGTAGAGCGAACCTACCTAGTATCTTCACCTCCCAGACGCAGTCTCAGCCCCGTTGGATTGGGACACGTAGATCTTCACCACCCAGACGCAGTCTCAGCCCCGTTGGATGGGACACGTAGATCTTCACCACCCAGACGCAGTCTCAGCCCCGTTGGATGGGACACGTAGATCTTCACCACCCAGACTCAGTCTCAGCCCCGTTGGATGGGACACGTAGATCTTCACCACCCAGACGCAGTCTCAGCCCCGTTGGATGGGACACGTAGATCTTCACCACCCAGACTCAGTCTCAGCCCCGTTGGATGGGGCACGTAGATCTTCACCATCCAGACGCAGTCTCAGCCCGTTGGATGGGACACGTAGCCCGAATGGAAGACCCCGGCTCCCAAAACAGATATTCTTCGGAGAAGACACGATAGGCAAGCGCTCCCAATGAGGTAAAAAAAAAAATAATTTAAAAAAACACAGGGGGCCGAAGTAATTATAATAGCTACCGAGGAATTTCTCTCTTTGGCTTAGTTTGGAAGACTTTTGCCTGTGTTGCCCTTAAACGATGTACAGAGTCTGGCAAACCGCATCTACCCATAGAGTCCCAGTGTGGCTTCCAGAGTGGGCACTCAACAATAGACATGATATTATCATTTCGCCAAATGCATGAGAAATGTCGTGAACAGCATATGCCTCTCTATATTGCTTTCATTGACCTGACAAAGGCATTCGACTTGGTCAGCCGGATTGGCCTTTTCAGTACCTTGCAAAGAATAGGTTGTCCCCCACGACTGCTCACGGTCATACAGTCATTTTACAAAAACATGCCCAGCACAGTAACTTTCAATGGAGCTGTCTCTGAGTCATTTCCAGTTAGCAGCGGAGTAAAACGGGGTTGTGTACTGGCACCAACACTCCTCTCCATTTTCTTGTCGATGCTCCTTCTATTTGACTTCAGTGACCGTGAAGATGGAGTGTACGTCCATACAAGATCTGATGGCAGACTGTTCAATATCGCCCGCCTTCATGAAAAGACCAAGGTAAAAACGGTGCTGATTCGTGAACTGCTGTTCGCTGACGATGCCGCCTTAATATTTCACACAGAAGAAGGTCTGCAGGGGCTGGTTAATCGTCTATCACACGCTTGTAATGAGTTCGGACTTTCGATTAGTGTACAAAAAACACATGTAATGAAGCAAGAAGCACTGTGCCCTCCAATCATATCTATTGAGGGTCATAATCTTTCGGTTGTTGATCATTTCACACACCTTGGATCCAATATTTCTAGTTCTCTCTCCCACTATGAAGCGATAAATATCAGGATCGCAAAAGCAGCTGAAACTATGGCTAAACTGAATAAACGGATGTGTGATAATCTCAATCTAACTGATAAAACAAAAATATGTGTCTATTCAGGCATGCGTGCTTAGCACGCTCCTATATGGTAGCGAAGTGTGGACCACATACACCAGTCAGGAGCGGAAACTCAACACATTTCTTTCAAAGATGTCTGCGTCGTGTTTTACGCATTCGGTGGCAGGACAAGGTGCCTAACACGGAGGTCTTGGAACGTGCACACATGTTTAGCATATTCTCTGCTCTTCCTTCGCTGGTTAGGTCATGTACGGAGAATGGAGGAAGGACATAAGGACGTATCCCAAAGATACTGCTGTATGGAGAGTTGGCAGAAGGAACATGACTTGTTGGACGGCCACGCCTCAGATTTATGGACGTTTGCAAAAGGAGCATGAAGGAAGCCAACATTGAAATCAACGAATGGGAGCCCATTGCCGAACAACGTAACCAGCTGACGAACAGCAGTGTTTGAAGGAGTAAAAAAGGCAGAAGATATTCGAAACGAGGCCCTTGCAACCAAAAGAACAATACAGAAGTCAATATCTTACCAGGAATCAATATTATCCTGCGAGAAACGCAGTCGAGATTGTCATTCTAGGATTGACCTAGTGAGCCACTCGTCGAAGTGTAGGACTACATAGCTACTCCATCGTCTCGCGAAGACGGACGGATGCCATATATAATTCATCCAAATTGTCATATTTTTTCCTTTTAAATAACACCTCACTGACAGAAGAGCTCTACATGATATCACAAATTGCTGTTTAATTTTTAACAACGAATGCGCAAAATAATTCTAAATGTCCCTGTGTCAAATTTGACAATTTGTTGAATGTCCTTAATTTGTTGAATGTCCTCAATTTGTTGAATGTCCTCAATTTGTTGAATGTCCTCAATTTGTTGAATGTCCTCAATTTGTTGAATGTCCTCAATTTGTTGAATGTCCTCAATTTGTTGAATGTCCTCAATTTGTTGAATGTCCTCCATTTGTTGAATGTCTTCCATTTGTTGAATGTCCTCCATTTGTTGAATGTCCTCCATTTGTTGAATGTCCTCCATTTGTTGAATGTCCTCCATTTGTTGAATGTCCTCCATTTGTTGAATGTCCTCCATTTGATCTTGAAATGAAAAAAAGGTCATCTGATGTAAATGGAGATGAAGGAACGAACAGAACACAGAACATAGAACACGGAACATAGAACACGGAACATAGAACACAGAACTTAGGACAGATAATATTTGCAAGTTTCTCCTATATTGTTTTAGATCGGCATTTGTTTAGAGCACACTCCAATGCTATATTACTCTCGCCCCCGACCAAGACATTTGTCTCTCAGCGTT